GCTCTCCCCTATTTGCCCGTAGTTGGGACAGAGACTGTTTGTCTGTTTGAAGGACTTTAGTTGACTAAATCTTAAGATTTATAACGGGCCCCCGAGCTAGCTGAACATATACTGCGGAGACGCATCGACATCTGGCAATCATCTTACTCGAAGAATGGGGTCTGCGTGTGGCGAGCTACAGGACAGAGACCGTTGGAATGTTTACTGTCGAGTGTTACAACTATTTCCTTTTTAAGGAGAGCTATAGAATTATTCCATGCCTTTGTTAGACAAAGCGTTCATCCCGTGACCGCGGCTATGTTCGGCGACTGACTGTCGCCTCGAGCCCAAGCTCATTATCACAACTCTCGAACAATTACAATCGGATTGAATAACTACAATTGTTCAATTACAGCTATAGTAGACTCTAGGTTACAATGTTGCGGGATTATCCAAAATTCCAAAGGCTCCGGTGTTCTTTCATCTCCAACATATATAATAATATATAATAATAATATATAGAATATAATAGATATATAATAGATATATAATATAACATATAGAATATAATAATATAATAGAATATATAAAATGATATATATTCTGTAAATAAATGCTTCCGTCTGTGTCATTGTATCTCGGATGACATTACGTATGTCGAAGATGAAAGGAAAACGGAGCCTTTCTTTTGAAATTTTGGGAAAATCCTCTAATACTTTAGCCTAGATTCTATCATAGTGGTAATTATGCAATTGTTGTCATTCAGTCTGATTGTGATTGTTCGAGATTTGTGATAGTGAGATTGGACTCGAGGTGATATAACTGGTAGCCACGGTCACGGGATGGACGTTTTGCCTGACAGAGGTGTGGAATGGTTGTATGGTTCTCCCTAGAAATGTGGTTGTGGCGGCATACAGCCTCAAGAACGGGCCTGGCCACGTGTGATTTTACCTCGGAGGTGCCAATATAATGGGACACACGTTGTATTAATAATAAAACTCCAGGCACAAACTACCTAGCAACGGCGATTGGAACTTTCTCGATGCTTCTAACGAGTATTTAACAAACGAACGCGATTGTAAAGCGAGGAAAATTTTCATCAGTCTATTATTCGTGCGATCGCCTTGGAAAGTTACACTTCGAGCAGTTTATACTGAACGTCCCAGCAATCGTATTTTGTCCTTAAAATGTATTCTACGCCTAGTAAAGAGTTATTCCGTTGACCGTGGATTCGGTATCGAACCCACGTTAAGAACAATTCGTTAAGAACGTTGTCAATTGCATCTTGCGTGTCTAAACGCCTCTGATGTTTGTTAAACTCTGTTAAAGTCATTTTTTTTGTACCTGTAAATATAATCTCTGTTGTTCAAAACGATGGCTAATTCAAATGAAAAATTGTTACGCGCCCTAAATTCTATCGATAACCTGACACATAAATATGTTGTCGGTAAGTTACCGACTGCAAAAGTTAATTGTCGATAGGGTTCAAATAATCATTTCTTTAACCACATTTTAATTTCTTGAGCAATAGGATTCTTATTCATAACGCTATAAAACAGATATTTTGACAAATATTTTAACAACCAATGGTATCTCATGAGCCTTTGGCAGAGTCAACAGTAAGTAGATGTATGTGTGTGTGTGTGTGTGTGTGTGTGTGCGTGCGTGCGTGCGCGCG